CATCCCCCCATGTTGCTCTGTTTTGCCACAAGCCCCAAAGCAATGAAGCCAACTGACCATGGACTAAAACCACCGAAACCATGAGCCAAACAATCCTTTCCTCTGTGTAGTTAATTGTCTCGGTTATTTTGTCACAGTGATGGGACACTGACTGACTGACTGCCTCTGCATCTCACTTTGACCTCAAGGTGTTCATGCAGAGATCTCACTGGGTAAACTACTGATGGATGCACATTAAGCTCCCAAACTGAGTGGCAGGTCTAGGCTGGGTGCCAGGACCAAGAAGGGACATGCAAGGTGACACTTCTGAGACCAAATTAAGCCAGCTTGGGAAAGAGGCAATCAACAAACCATTTCTAATTATTTTCTTGAGGAAAATCTATTTGTGAATGTGGGTGTTTTCCTGAATGTTTGTCTGTGCCTGGTGCCCACAGAGGCCAGAAGAGGGCATTGGATCTCCTGGAACTGGAGTTTTAGATGGTTGTGAGCCACAATGTGCGTGTTGGTACCTGGATCCTTGCAAGGGCAACCAGAGCTCTTACACACAGAGCCATCTCTCCAGCCTCCATCTCTAATTCTTGAAAATTCACCAGCACCCCCACCTACCTGTCCAGAGCATGAGTGAGAGCCAGTCACAACCTTCCTATCCCCCAATGAAATCAATGTTCAGCTGGTTAAACCTTCTACGTGGACATGTGAGCCCTCTGAGATGGATTCCCTCCTTTAGGGAAGAAAACATTGGATGCCTATTTGCATATGAATTTTGGACAAGTAAGGAAGGCTTAAGTTTTAGGATAAATAAGAAAACATTTTAGTATATCTCATTTAACATTTGGAATGTGTTTATACTAAAAAAACCACTGCTTGTTTTTCTGAAAATCTAATTTAACTAGTAACTTGGCAGCCTTGTTCCAAGAGGTAGGGACTGCTGCTGAATCTGCAGGGTGCTCTGTTCACAATCGGTGGCCTCACATGGGAGGATGTAGAGCTGCTAGACTGTCACCAGTGTTGACCCAGAGAGGTGACTGAGGATCTGGAGAGACAGCCACCTTGACCATGGAGTGAGTCAGGGAAGTTCACAGATCAAAATGGCCCAGTTGGATAAAAACAAAAGAACAGCAAACAATCACACTCAGATATATCACTTTCCTCTCCGAGCTCACATCCAGGCAGTGTTGGTCATGTCTTACAAGCAAGACTCTTTGGAGACATTATAAAAGAGGGAGAGCAAAAATGGCACAGCTCAAGTGTGGGCTGAGACTGTCAGTCTCAGAGATGTACGGTTTCGTCTTGACTGGATCTCCGGGCTTCTTTGACTTCCAGGCAGAGTATAAGACTGGAGACTTCAGGCAGGGTGTAAAGGTGGGGAGTAGAGGAAGGAAGGGGGATAAACTAAGGATAGCTACAGAAGGGTAACCAGAGCACAAAGCCAATATTGACCCAGTAACATGTACAATAGGGAAATGTGGGCTTTGTTTTTTAAATCACCCAGGGACAGGTACTTGTGAAGTGATTGACACCCAGGAGGTGATGACTGGGAGACTGAAGATGAAAATGTTTTTGCACTGAGTGCCAGCCCAGGATCCAAGAGTTTTATCTTCTCTGGTTGTGCATTCCACGTGATCGACCTATGAGAGGCAGAGTTTTGAGCATGCTTTACAAATAAGGAAACTGAGGCAAGGGGTAAGTAATTAACCTGCCCAAAGTTACATAACTACAGAGCTGGGGCTCGCATCCACATTAGCCTGAACTCTAAACCAAAAAGGGCTCAGATGATCTCAAAAGACACAGAACTGAGTGGAGATAGAACATTATATAAAGTGCTGGAGGCAGCTGGTATTTTTCTAGCTTACACTGTATCTAAATGGCTCTAAGTCCATCATCTATATGATATATGGTCACATGACCATATCATACTCAGAGAGGCTGAGTCTTCTGTGGAAGGTCACACAGATAGAAGATGCAGGAGACAGGTTGAGAATACAGGTCTATACCAAACGTAGTTCCCCACACATATAAGTAATTCCCTTGTCCAAGTTACAGTTATTATTGATGTGATGAAATAGTATGACCAGAGAACCTGCGGGAAGAGAAGGTTTATTTGGCTTACACTTCCACATCACTGCTCATCATCAAAGGAAGTCAGGGCAGGAGCTCAAGCCGGGTAGAAACCTGGAGGCCAAAGCTGATGCAGAGGCCATGGAGGGATGCTGCTTAATGGCTTGTTCCCCATGGCTTGCTCAGCCTGCTTTCTTAGAGAACCCAGGACCACAGCCCAGGAGTAGCACCACCCCAGTGAACTGGGCCCTCTCACATCCGTCACTAAGAAAATGCCTACAGGCTTGCCTACAGCCTGATCTTATGGAGGCATTTTCTTACTGAGGTTCTATCATCTCAGAGGACTTTAGCTTGTGTCAAGTTGGCATAAAGCTAACCACCACAGTCCCTCCAAGGTACACTTACATCTCAATGGAATGTTCCTTGATGGTGGGAATTCTAGAAACACCCTGGCATGAGTGAAATGATACCTCATTCTTTGGTGCCTCTCTCTGCTGGAAAGTGGGAGCCTGAACCCTTTCTTCCTCTACCTTCTCTTAGGCAAACTATAAAGGAGGAAGGAATAAAGGACACAGCATGGAACTTACTGGTCGTCAAGAGGACACATCACAAAACTTCCTGGCTGTCAGGAGGGCACAGCATAGAACTTCCTGGCTGTGAAGAGGACACATCACAGAACTTCCCAGCCATCCGGAGGACACATCATAGAACTTCCCAGCTATCAGGAGGACACATCACAGAACTTCCCAGCCATTAGGAGAACACATCACAGAACTTCCCAGCCATCCGGAGGACACATTATAGAACTTCCCAGCTATCAGGAGGACACATCACAGAACTTCCCAGCTATCAGGAGGACACATCACAGAACTTCCCAGCCATTAGGAGAACACATCACAGAACTTCCTGGCCATAGTGACACATCATAGAACTTCCTGGACATCAGGAGGACATGATGTAGAACTCACCAACATCTTCCAGGGAGGGACACCTCCTTATCCAACCCTGCTGATGGGAGCTTTGATCTTGCAGAAGTCTACAAGTAAAATCCACCCTCTCTGGGTGTATGGAGGAAATTTCTGCTTTGCTTTTTAAATTGACTCTTTAGTTCAAAACCCAGTTATAAGCAGGAATGATTAGCACTCCAGTTCAAGAAGCCAGCTTGGAATACTTGTCTGCTTTGGCCAAGCTTCAGGCCAAACTGTCATCTGTTCTTTCCATGGAAGCAGAACCAAGGGAAATGATCCTCTAATCCTCAAAAAGCACTGAGGGAGAATGTGGTATGAAGATGAAGGTGGCCATCTACAAGCTACAGAGAGACAAGAAGCTGTCCTGATGATGCTCTGATATTGGACTTCCAGCCTCCTAAGCCTGAGAATATTATTATGTGCTGTTGGGGCCAGTGAGGCTGAGTTATGTTATCATGGCAACCCTTGTAAATGAACAGTGCCGCTCCATGTCTTGGCTCAGAGACTACTAGCTCTAGGACAGGTGGTCCAGGAACCTCCTTAACCGTGTGCTTCCTTGTTCCCTAACGTTAGCCTTTCCTACACCTTTCCTCTTCTGTGACAGTAATCAGAGCAAGGGGCCAACAGAGACCCCAGGACCCCAGAGATCAACCTAGGAGCATCTTGGATGACCCAGATGTCAGGGGTGGGGGATAGTCAGAGAAGCTGCAGACCTATCACAGAGCATCTGTGTGGCCCTGGCTGGCAATGTCTGCTCTATCAGGGTGGATAGAGCTTAGTGGCTTCACCGGGGTTTCTATTAAGTAAAGCTGGAAACTTGAAGCAGGGAGACAAGCTAAAAGGCCACGTAGTTCTTACTACTCTAGAGGAGCAGGAGCTCCCAGGGAAAGCAGCTGGTCACTAGCTACCTCAGACTGAAAGACAATCCTGGTTCTGCCAAACCTCAAACTGTAACCTCTCCTTGGCATGGCTGGAGAATCCTGAGACTTCAATGTCTTCCTATCATCAATGTGGCTGGAGAATGAATGTCTGATACTAACTACCGAAGACCCTACTCTTATCTTTTACACCCATATATGCTGGGCTTACAGGGGTGTGAGTCCAGGTGCTGAGATCATCTTTGTGTGAGCTGTTTCTCTTTAGGACTGGATCAATCCTGTGTAGATCTGGGTGGCCTTGGACTCACAGAGATCTGTCTACCTCTTAATCCTGAGTCCTAGGACTAAAGGTATATACCACTACCTCCTAACTTCTGACTGCTGGGATTAAAGGTGTGTGCCTGGCTTCTATGACTTGTGGCTGACTTTGCTTTCTGAATCCTCAGACAAGCCTTAAAAAATCATAAATAACATATCACCACATACCCCCATGTCAAAGGAGATGCCTCTCACAGCTCAAGGAGACACAGAACCACAACCAATGTTAAGGCCTGGCCTGCCACAAAACCCCTAGTTCTCTTCTTGGAAAACCATAACTCTGCCAGGTGAGCAAGATGACGGCAAGGAACAACTATCCAAAAAGAACAACACTGGTGTACTTAATAAATAATATCTTTGCTGTGTACCTCTCCAATCTTCCCAAGTCTCTGCTTAAATTGTTCGAAGTGTAACCTAGGGCCAGACCTAAAAGAGATTTAAGGATTTCAGGGTGTGTGAAGTACATAAACCTAAAATGTCTGTAAGTTAGTAAAATCCATTTGAGGCCAACTCCTCTTTGGGCATTAACAATACCTTGTGTTGTGCTTTTACAGTAACTTTTTCTTCATCAACCTCTGTGTGGAGTGAGTTCTCACTGGGAAGGATGCTATTTCTGTAGCAGCATGAGAAGCAGGCATCTTTGGAAGAGCCAGGAGATCTGGTGAGGTAGAGACCCTTTGAGTCTCCCATTACTCTGAGTCCCAAGGTTCTAGCCCACATGGGACCAGGGTCCCTCGCTGACACTGGGACTCTTGAGGTATGAGGTGAAATCCCCAAGGGCCACGTGCTTTATCTTCTGAGGTCCTGCATTCAACAAAACCTGTATCCATTCATTATTTTGGAAATTCACCAATTCTCAGGTTCCCCCATTCATTGAGAAGCTGAGGAGTCCAGAAAAAAAAAAAAACAAGGAAGGCAGGATAAAGTCACTCAGTGGACATTCAGTTGGAGGTTGAGGGGCAAGAGAAATCTGGAACAAAGTGCAAATACGTATCACAACATCATCCACCATGCCCTTTAATGCAGTATTGATTCCCAGCCCTCATCTTGGGCCTCAAAATTCAACTCAAGTCCCAGCATTCTTTTAGCTCCCTCAAGCGCCTGGATGGCATCACCCTGAGTGCAGGTACTGTGCCTTGCTTATGGCCACAGCTACCATTTATCTAGGTGCAGGCAGCTGGCGGTTTATCTTTAACTCTCTCACCCTGAAGGTGTGATGAGGCATCATTACCATATCCATCAGGTGGAGAGACTGAGAAGTAGGAAGGGGCTTCTCAAGACTTCACAGTGGGTGACCACTGGAAGTGGGATTTGAACCTGGACCTGTGTGCTTCTGCTTATGAGTAGGCATCTCGAAAATGCAGGTTCCTATGGTTCCCCTAACACAGAGGCCTGCAGAGGAGAGAATTTGCTGAAGAAAGTAACAAATGGCCCTGCCTGGCTCATGTTCTGCTCTGGAACTGAACGCAGCTGAGTAGTAACTCTTAAGGAAGAGAGCCTTGTTTGCCTCAGAAGTCCAGGATTATGAGGCCAGCCTCTGATTTATACACCCGAGGACCCTGGTGCCACATCAGAACAAGCTTGTGTGTTTCAGTCTCTCATAAGACCACTAATGCATCATGGGGAACATATTATATGGTTTCATTTAATCCCAGTGACCTCTCAAAGTCACTTTCTATGAATCCTGTCAACGCGGGACCTGGGGATCAGGTTTCAGCATGGCGTTGCATGCAGTGAAACACAGCAAATTGAGGTACAAATTCAGAAGGGTGTGCCTTCCAGTGTCTGACTCACAAGGACAGATGTGCACAATGCTGTTTACACCGTGCAGTCTGTAGCTCTGCTAACAACTGTTCTTGCTAAATGAGGTCTATGGACCAGGATGTGGGGTTTGTGCTAAAAGCCCCACCCTGAGCAAGGCTCGGGACTGCACTCAGGTCCTAAACTCCCAGTGCAGCTGTCTCCCAGCTCATAAAGGTTGTCTCCTAGCTTAAACCCGTGTGGTCTTCTCTGACAGGTACCACACAACACTGGCAAAAACTGTACGAGCGGAAGGAATTCTGCATCTGCTCTTCCTCTAGCCCAAACCTTCGGAGGTTCAGGCTCCAGAAGCCAAGATCATTCCCTCTTCTGCCTCTGCCTGTGAAGATCATGTGACTGGCAGAATCTGTTTTGAAAACACATCTCCAGATAAGAGCTAGGGAGGAATAGAGAAGGTTCACAAATGTGTGTGCACCCATATGCCAGCACCTCTGCCTGGACTCTCCATCAACCGTTTCTATGACATCTTGTTTCACCAGGGCCAGGCTGTGTTCAGCCACAGGGATCTCCTGTAAGCCCATTCTTCTGATGAATCTCCTTAATTCTATGCTCAGATGAGGGCTTCCTAATCCGTCCCTTCAGGCATCCCTTGGCTTTGTTTTCTCTGCTGCAGCCTTCTCTGAAATCATTCTACTCATCGGGTATCTTGCCCAGACAGGAAAAGTAGGTCAAGGATTAAAACAGAAGAAAGGGTCCAGAAGTATTACTCAGAGCTATTTTGAACTTGAGATTGTGAAACAGGAGAGTGTTTTGTGGGGATGGCCGCTTTCACTGATGACTTAGGAACAAACACTTGCCAATGCCTGAGCTTTCCACCCATTGAACATGTGATCCCACGGCTGCGTTTTGAAAGGATAACCCTGCCCTGCAAAAGCACAGCCTTGAAATCGAAATTCTGTACCAGCTAGGCCACTTTGGGCACCCACAGATGAATAAAAACAAGGGAACCCCGGGAACTCTGTGAGCGCAGTGGGAGGAATGGGTTTGATCAGCCAGGTGTCCAAGGCCTATGTGCTCCTCAGGGTGAAGTGAAGCTACTGAGCAGACATGTCCAGGCCCAGGGCGTCTCCGAATGTCTGAGCAGCCAGAGGAAGCATTCGGGCTCACTCTCTCCTGGCCCAGCTCTGCATCATGCTGAGAATCTTTGCTGCGGAAATGCATTATATATTTAGGGGAGTGAAGTGTGTAGAAGGCCTTGAACTAGGAGCTAACAGAGGGAGGAAGACAGTGAGAGGTTTGACCTGCCCCAGAGTCTGGGGGTGTGGAGGTGAGCCATGAGCTCAAATCCCAGTAGGAGGGGTGGGGAGCCACATGACAGGCAGCCGTGGGCCCTGGTCTTTTTCAGGAGAAATCACACTGGACATTTTCAGGCCAGGCTGTGATAGTGGTTTCAGACCCCACTGGTGTGGAGGCATTATCTCACGTACTCCTGCTTTTCTCTTTCACAGGGGAAGAAGGGAGAGAAGGAGGAAGCAAGGCTAGCATTGAACTCCTGGGAGGTTTCTTGGAAAGCAGCTGGTTTGGCTCCCATTTTAACCCAACTACCAGGTGCTCCTGTTGGACGTAAGACTGCAGTTGGACCATCCCTGTGCCTGGTCGATAAAGTGTTCCTACTTTTCCTGAAAACACAATGCAAAACAATTTCCACAAGGGAAGCTTTCAACACTTACGCGTGCTGTGACTCTGACCTCATAATTAGGCTCCATGGCTATACATATGACAAATGATTGTGCCTAAAATATGCAAGGAACTCAAACTAAAGGCCCAAACACCAGGAAAATAAATGTTCCAATTCAATGATGGACTATAGAACCTAACAGAGTTCTTCAAAGATTAGATACAAATGGCTAAGAAACCTCTTTTAGATGTTCAACATCCTTAGCCATCGCTCTGAGACATCATCTTACCCCAGTCACAAGGGCTAAGACCAAGAAAACAAATGACAGCAAAGGCTGACACAGGGGTTCGAATGGGGAACCACTTATTATTCACTGTTGGTGGAAGTGCAAACTGATGCAGTCACCATGGAAATCAGTGTGGAGATTTCTCAAAAAGCTGCAAGTCAATCTACCACACGATGCTATACCCTCCTGGGCATATACCCAAAGGACTCTATACCCTACTACAGAGATACTTGCTCACCATTGCTGCTCTGCTCGTAATAGCTAGGAGATGGAAACAGCCTAGATGCCTGTCAATGACAGGATAACGAAAACGTGGCGCGTAGGCATAACGGAATTTTAGCCAGCTGTAAAGAAAAATGAGATTATGAAATCTGAAGGTAGACAGATAGAACTGAAAAAAATCATTCTGAGTGAAATAATCTGGGTCAAGAAAGACATGCTGCACGTTCTCTTTCCTATGTGGATGCTGTCTTTGAATCTTTAGGTCTGCGTGTTTAACTTGGCGCACCTATAGAAGCCGGGAAACTAAGAAAGGGCCATTGACGTTATTTTAATGGAGGAGGATAGTAGAACCTAGGTGGTATGATGGGGAAAGGGGAGTAGTGGGGCAGGATGTTTTAAGTGGGGAGGAGGATACATGGAGGCCATGGCAGGAGTGAGTATAGGAAAGGATAACTAAAATTAAAGATCTTTGAAATATCCATATGTAAGCCTACTATTTTAGAAGCATATGTATATATGCGTCTGAGATCTCAAATATATATAATCTCAAAAGTCTAAAGGGAGTTACCCAATATGGAAGGATAATGCCTCTCCCACATGCCATAGACCATCAAATAGAAAGCCACTACTAGGTATAGGTTACTGTCTTAGTCAGTTAGGGTCTGTATTGCTGTGAAGAAGCACTACAGCCATGACAACTCTTATAAAGAAAAACATTTAGTTGGGACTGGTTTACAGGATCAGAGATTTAGTCCGTTATCACCATGGTGAGAAGCATGGCAACATGAAGGCAGTCATGGTGCTGGAGAAGGAGCTGAGAGTTCTATATGTGGATCGGTAGGCATCAAAGAACAGTGACACTGGGCCTGACTGGAGCATTTGAAACCCCAAAGCCCACCCCCAATGACAGACATCCTCCAGCAAGGCCACATCTACCCCATCAAGGTCACACACCTCCTAATATGCCATTTCTATGAGCCTATGGGGGGGCATTTCATTCAAACCACCACAGTTATCTACCTTTGAGTTGTCAGTCGAGGGGTTCACATAGATTCCCCTAGCAATAAATGTTATTGCCATTTCTCTTGGTTATATACCAGAACTTAATGGTAAGATCCTATTGCTGAAGATACCATACATTTGAATTATATAATATATATTCAAAAAATCAATCTGGTACAGACCTGGAAGCTTCTTCCCTATTGGCTAGATTTCATAATGCCTAGAAGATGCTGTGTGAACCCTGTGAACTACAATAGTGACTGGCCTGAGAAGATATGCCTATTATACAATAGTGCCCTGATAGTTACAGGAGTAATCAACCTCTTTCTGCTTGGATTTCATGCCTGCTTCACAAGATAGAACTTATGCCTGCTACTATAAACTGGGTTAAGAACCCTTGGCTGGGAAGATCATAGGCCCTAGGGGAGAACCTACAGACATTGTTTTGGTTATAGACATAGTATCAAACTGCCTTCTAAATACCTACCATTATATCCATAGATTAGTGTAGTCCTCCACCTTCATCAAGGAATCTTTTTACTGCAGTAGATGACCATTAATACAGACTCACAACCTGTGAGTATGGGGAGAGTAAAAGTCTAGAGTGTTTTCAGCCCTAAATGGAACATCTATATAACACTTCCTCCTCCCAAGACCCAGGTATAATTACAGGATAGGGATCAGAAAGACTGCAAAAGCCAGATATTGCGGGGGACTGCTTCATAATAGTGTTTTCCAGACTCGACAAAGCCATTGCGCATAACAACTCACATGGGCTGTGGTTATATTCATAAGACCAAAACAGCAAAAAATCCAGCCTGAGTTGGGGAAGGACCCACAAAGCTCCACCCATAGCTATTGTCAGATGATGGTTACTGGGGAAAGAAGAGTCAGTTTTCTTCAGGGATATGGCTGCCCATGTTCCAGTGGATGACTGCATGCCCATGCACATATGGCCGCACTGAACAGACCCAATGGGTTAAAAACAGAGTGCAGGCAGCTGTGAGCAGCACGACGTGGCTCTCACCTGTTGAGCCGCTTCACCAGTCCCCCGCATTTATTTTCTCTTTGTATGCATTGACTTTCACTCTGCTGGTTGCTCCCATTGATATCCAGACACTTTGAAAGTTTGGTAGTTTCATTCATCAGTTTCTTTCATTGGTGTCTTTGGTAGCATACTCAAGACAAGAAAGGTCAAATACTCTTAAGTTTTTCCTCATGTTTTCCTTGAGGACCTTTATAGATGTAAGTCTTACAGTGAGGCCACTGACCCATTTTCAGTTCATTTTCTAGGTGCTGCAATGTAAGGTTCAAACTCCATTCTTTTGCCTGTGTACATCCAGATTCCCCACTATCGTAGGCTAAGAAATTGTTCTTTTCCTATTGTGTGGTCTAGGCATCACTTTTGCAGACAATTAAACCATTGAGGCTACAATTTACTTCTGGATTTTATTATCTTTTAAAAAATAGTATCTTTAGTTTATTTTTTGAAAATTTCATATGTGCTTTTAATGTGTCTTGATCATATCCATCCCCTAATTTCCCTTCCGAATGCCTCCATTACACATTCCCCTCAATATCATGTCTTGCACTTATTTATTTATCTGTTGCTTGCTTGTTTATTTATTTTTAACTTTCTGAAATCAATTAGTATTGTTCATGGGATGAGTTGGGAGAACAGGAGTGAATGTGAACGAAATGCATTGTAGGAAATTCTCAGAGAAGTAATAAAAATAGTTTTAAGAGAGATCATGAAGTTGGGAATGAGAAATGGTGAGGGACATGGGAGGGGGTGAAAAGGAGGGAATGGGGTCAGGGTTTGATCCAAACGTTATATTTGTGTTCAACAGTCTCCAACAGCAAAAGTAGAAAGAAGAAAGCTAAGCTTCAGAGAAGGAATAACGTGGTAAAAGTGAAACACTAATCCTTAGTTGTTCATCATTTTGAACAGTTAAAGTACATGAAAACTCATGCACTATTAAAGCAAAAGTGTTCCTTAGTGCTGGGTGGGGGGTGGCTCATACCTGTGATCCCAGAAGTCAGGAGGCAGGAGCAGAAGAACTACTATGAGTTCTGGACCAGCCTGGGCTGTGTAGCAAGCTCTGGGCAAGCTGAGCTACAGAAAAAGACCATGTCTTGGGAAGAGGGGAGGAAGAACCTTGAACTGATGGAACTCACCTTCAGCGTCATCTGGGGAATGGAGAAAAAGATGCAGATAATCATGTGAACTGTTCTAACAGCCCACCACTCTCTCTAAATAACCTAGACATACCACTTCATCTCCCTCTAAAAGAGCCTTTGAGAAAGGGCTCTGCTGCAATGGCTGTAAAGTCTTCCAGTCGCATGAAACAGAATGCTGCTCCATTTGGGGTGACCTAGCTAAAACGAATGTGCTCTCAATAGAACCCACCAAATAAACTTGTAAGAACACTTATTATTTTTCCCTCTTAGCATTTGCCGGGTAGACTTCAGGGAGATGCTCTGGATAGCCAACATTTCTTAAAATTGCTGTCCAGGGGAAACTGAATTGGTAATTTCTTTCTCTCTGAACAAATGTTCCTATAATAGGCAGTGACCTTTAAAATCATCTCCGAGATGAATCCTTTCTAAAAGTAGCTGTCGCATTCCTTAGGCATTTGCATTTAACTGACTGGTGAAATGAGAAGCTTGACAGTTCAGTGGGGAAGACAAGCAGAGCCTGGAGTCATCTGTGATGACGAAGTGGCAGGTCCAGCGGAAGAGGGTGGATAGAGTGATGCGGATGCTGGGAACAAGAGGACAGCCAGGAGGACTAAAGGCTCAGAAAGGACGCCTGTGGCTGACACCGGGGGAGGAAAGAACACAGGAGTTGGTTGCCAGGGTGCTCCTCCCCTGGTTGTTTTATACACTAGAGATTCCTGCATTTCTCCCATGGTAGCCTTAAGTAGATAAAACATCTAAATCTCAAAACTGGTTCAGTCTGACCTCTACACTCATCACTCAGCACCGCCCTAGCCCACAGTCTTTCCATGTGCTAACCCAGTGGAAACTTTGCAGCATTCATTGCATGTGACTCTTCCACAGCCTTTGGCATGGCGAGCTGCTGTCCCCTTGTAGCATTTTCTTTCTTGCTTCCGTGGTCCTGACTCAGCACATCTGCATTCTGTCCCTCCTCTGTCACCAGCAACCCCCCACTATGATGCAATATTGGTGCACTGTGTCCTGAGAGGTTCAGGCCACCACCCTTCCTCACCTCTTAGACTCCGAACTGATTGCACTACGAAGAAGTTTCAAGGCATTGGGGAGGACAGAAAGGGGGTTCCTCCACGCTAAGAAAAATCTATCATTCAGAACCAAGGAAAGCCATCCTACCCTTCAGATTGAACCAGTAGTGACCGACAGCATCCCCAGTAGCTCCAGAGAAACCCTGCAGACCAAACACTCTGAAAGTCCATCTGTCGTCCACACCAGAGCCTAGGAAAGCAAGGCAAGTCACAGACTAAACCTAAACAGAGTCTCATTTTTGTTTCTGTGATAAAATGAGACCTAAACCAACTTGGGGAGAAAGTGTTTATTTTGGCTTACAGGTTGACAGTCTATCATCCAAGGGAAGCCAAGGCAGGAGTTCAAGGCAGGGACCTGGAGACAGGAAACTAAGCAGAGAGGAATGATGCTTATTGACTTGTTTACAGGTCCAGCTACCTTTCTTACACAGCCCAGACCCACAAGCCTAGGGATGGTACCACCTACAGTAGGCTGAGCTCTCATAACAATTACATCAACTGGATACAAGCTAAAGTCATCTGAAAGGAGGGAACCTCAATTAAGAAAATGCCCCCCATAAGATCAGGGTGTTAGCCTGTAGGGCATTTTCTTAATTGGCAATTGATGGGGGAGGGCCCAACCCATTGTGGGTGGTGCCATCCCTGAGCTGGTAGTCCTGGGTTCTATAAGTGAGCAAGCTGAGCAAGTCATGGGGAGCAGGTCAGTAAGCAGCACCCCCCCCCATGGGCTTTGCTTCAGCTTTGTCACCATGCTCCTGTCCTGTTTGAGTTCCTGTCCTGACTTCCTCCAGTGATGGACTGTGATGTGGAAGTGTTAGCCGAATTAACCCTTTCCTCCCCAACTTGCTTTTACTCATGGTGTTTCACCACAGTAATAGAAACCCAAACTAAGAAACCTGAAATCGGGAAATTTTTCCCACAGTCATGCCAGCGTGTTAATTTTATGGAGGCAGCCCCTGGATTGAGGTTCCTGGGTGTGTCAAGTTGACAGCTGAAGCTAGCTAAGACACAGAGTATCTGGCTGCTAATAGGAAAGATGTGTATAGTCTCCTAACATACAGGTAAGATGTAAAATGTCCACATACAGTTTTTAAAGGCCCATGACAAGTAATAAATTTCAACTCAAATGAGCAAAGATAAGCAAGTGTTACCAGTCAGCATCAAGGTAAATAAATATCAGGATTGTTAAGGACTTTAGTCACCATTAAAATGCTTCAGTGATCAATTATGTATTCTTTTGAAATGACTAAATAATGAAAATCTGAAGAAAGAAAGAAAAACTATATTATATATAAAAGTAGCCAAGTCTTACAACACAGGACTGCGGCCTCAACCACTCTGGAGACTAAGGCTAACATCACAAACTCAAGTCTTTCCTGGGGAACTTGGAAAGAACTTGTCTCAGAATAAAACAAAATTTTAAAAGGCTTGGGGATACATCTCGGGAGTAGAGTGCTTGCTTAGTATGAATGAAACCCTAGGTCCAATTTCTAAGCCCCCTCCTGCTCCCACTTACAAAAAAATTGGACCAAGTGAAAACATGAAAATACAGATCTGAACAATAGAACAGCAGAGTAGTCAACAAAACTTATTCTATGGGCTCAATAGGAGAGTGGCAATGACATATTACAGTACCGGAAGTAACATTTATAAAAACTATAAAGAGACAGACTCAGAAAGACTAGATAAGTCAAGATGGAATTCTAAAATTGCTCATAACTTTTGGAGTTCCAGCTGGGAAGGAGAAAGGAGGTAGGGCTGAAGGAGCATGTGATGATACAATGCCTGAAAATGTTTAAATTTGGCTAAAGGCACAAACCCTCAAATCCAAGAAGCTGTAAAAGTGCCAAACAGTATAAACCCAAATCACTCCATACCCAATGCATTATAATTTTAACTCCTGAGAAATAAAGTTAAATAAAAAATATCTTGATGTCAGTGAAAGAAAAATAACACCATACAGAGAAACAGATGAGAGTGGGTTTCTCATAGAAGAAATCAAGGAGACTGGGAATTGGTTTCTTATAGATGAACTCAAGGATGCTGAGAGTGGGCTTCTCATAGATGAAGTTAGGGTGACCTGAAGAAAGTCACAAGGCACTTATGTGCAAGAACCACAGATTCTGTATCGCGCAATGTTCCCTATCAAGAGTGAAAGGGAAATATTTAAATGTATTTTCTCAAATAAAGAAAAACTGAATCTTCTGCTACCAATCTACATCCCTTAGGAATGGAAAGGCTGGCTAAAGGAAGATCTTCAGACAGTAAATGAAGAAAGAAGGAATGTTAGAGTGTGAGGGAGGAATAA